AGCCCACTGTCCCATTCAATGCTGAATACGTTGTGCTCACCAGAACTGAACAGTTTGCCATGTTATTACTGCCGCCACCGCTTTGAGGCCCTTCCCGGCCAACAATTTGGGCTCAGCTTCTCGATCATCTCGACATCTGTCACTTTCGAGGGTAGCCCGTCGCTAGGGTCGGTGGAGGCGAGACACCAAGCAATGACCCCTCTACCTTTGACAGGAATTAGCCGGACGTGCCTCAGCATGTTGGCTTGCCCGCCAACAGTGACCAGATAATCAGACATGACATCCTGGGTTCCATGCTCAGTTCCTTTGCACTGGCGGGAATCCACTGATATATGACTTTGTAGCCGAATGCATAATATTCGACCATGACTACAAAGCTGTGTGGGTTAAGTATGCGAGCCGTGCTCGGCGAGGTGTACTATGCTTACGGTAGAGACGGGAGATGCCGACGGGCGTTCTCCTGATTCCCTGCCATTCTGGCGCGCTTCTGGAACTCGTCGGTCGGAGTCTGTGTCGAGCACCAAATCCTTTCAAAGGTCAGTCTCACAAAAAATTCAGGGGGAGCTCGCTGCGGGACGACTCGAACAGAAACTCATATGCATCTGACATAGATGAGGTTGAGCAACTTGTAACTCTCACCGGCCAATATAATCTAACAGAACATCGACCAATTGCATCGTACAAACACCGTACATATCTACACGAAGACTACTGATACATAGCGTCGTGACCGTGCTTCGTCCTTTCGTCATAAACAAATATACGAGGGAGAGCATCACCACAGACCAGCGCGTCGATAAAACAATAAACTAGGATAGACCAGCCTGCAGAGCACAGCGACAGCAAAACGAGACGGACACGCCGGGCACGGCGGTACAGACAGCAGTACACTACCAGAGCATCACACAGCGAACGGCCGCGGCGGGAAAGGACGTATTACAGCGCGGCCTGACCAGTGGCGAGCGAATACGGGCCCCGCCTGCGGGCATGAGGCAACGCTCGGTCGCACGGCGAGCGAGCGAGCGGATAATCAAACGAGTGCGTAGGGTAAAGGAGGGGAGAGCTAGCGAGGTCCTCGTCGAGAGGAAGCACATGGGCATTAGACATCTAGAAAGATTCGATTCGCGGAAATTCGGTTTGCGGCATGCTGTGCCGTTGCGGCAGACACGCGATTAGTGGCCGAAGACCCTAGAGAAAGATTATGCGTAAGCGAGAGGGCTTCGGAAACACGCCAAGGGAGAAAAAACTTACTCGTCAAACAGTTCGACACCGCCACACCGCTTCCGGCGGTCGGGCTCGACGGCACGCACAGCGTTGCGGACGTCCTCCGCCAGTCCCTGCGGGCCGCAGACGGTGACGAAGACCCCAGACGGGCGGCCGCCAATGCTCTTGCCATCCGCCCCGCCGCGGCGCCGCGCGCTGTCCTCGCTGTTGCGGTGGAAGAGCGCGCAGGCGCGGTCGACGACGCTGTTGAGCGTGCTCTGGAGCTTCGGCCGGCCGGGCGTGACGCGGAGGCCGGCGGGGAGGTGCTGGAGGATCTTGAGCACGTGCGGCGGCGGGTTCGCGAAGCAGCGCGTGTACGAGACCGAGATCTGGAGCGAGGTGTAGTACAGCCGCGAGTTGCTCTGCGCGAGCAGGTACGAGAGGTGGTGCAGCAGCGGCAGGATCGCGCTCGGGTCCTGCACGCTCCACACGAGCTCGACGCACTTGAGACGCGAGCGGCCCTCGCGGTCTTTCTGCAGCAGGTCCTGCAGCACACCGAGCGCGTACGTGATGCCGCTCCCGCCTGCGACGACGAGCGCGCCAGAGAAGGAGGCGTAGATCGTGTGGTTCGGGCCGCCGTACGGGCCCTCGATGAGCAGCTTGACATCTCGTGGCTGTGAGCCCTTCTCGGCGCGGCTGTCGTCTGACGAGAACGAGCCGTACTCCATGCCGCGCGCAAGATCGAAGAGACTGTTGGTCCACGCGCCGGTCTTCTTGCACATGAGCGTGAGGTTCTCGCCGGACGGGCTTTGGGCGACGCTGCAGATGGTGAACGGATGGCACTCGAGCATACCGAGCTTAGTCTTGCCGGAGAGTTCAGACTCGAGCACCCGGATGCGGACATGCTGACCTGCACGCCAGCCTGCGTTGATGCCTTGCACCTCGACGCGAGTCATGCCGAGCTCGGAGAGAGCAGTGACGCGGGCAGTGGTGTAGCGAGTCTTGAGCAGACGAGCGACTCGGTCGAAGAGATAGACACCGAGCGCAACGAGCAAATATCCGCCTGCCGACGGAGCATGGAGGTAGACCTGTCCATCAAGTGTTACAGTCAGAACTGTTCGGGAAGAATGATTGTGCTGAGGCGACGAACAGCGATAAACAAAATGATTGCGCCGATTACGTGCAACACCTTGAATGTTCCATGGAACCGCTGACGAACGTAGCTAAGCGAAAAGACGAAGATAAGGTTGGCGGCAAGCATGCCCACAAAGCCGGTGAGATGCAACGGCTTCGCGAGCTGCTGGGCGATCGTGAGAGGCTTCGTCGAGCCGCCCGCATTCAGGGCCCAGTTATAGACTGGATTCCGTCAGGATCGGAGAGAAAGAACAACGGCAAGAATTCTCACAATAGCCCAGAGAATGGATGTTGATAGCGAGGACCAACAGTCTGCCGGCAAATCGATGAAGGTAATTCAACTGCGACATGTGAGAACGGGGCGCGTAATAATAGCATTGCAAAAACGCACCCGTGTGTAGCACGCTCCGATCAGAATCCCAACAATGTTGTTCTTTGCCGAAAGCACCAGGACAACCGGGATTTGGCTGATGGCGACCCAGCCCATACGGACAGGATCGCTGAAGATGTCGGACTCGAAAAATCCAGCGTAGCACAAAGTGATGAAGTAGGCCACCATGATAGAAGCGCCGCCAACGGTGAGGCCCGGCCGTATGGGGATGCGAGCGATCCACGAGAGCGACGGGATCATGGTAGTCCAGCTCGGCATGTGCACCGGAAGGTCGAGCTTGCGATTGCGACGGGACTGGGCACGCACAAGTTGCGCGCGGGTAGTTTGCGTGGAGGACTGGGTGTTGTTGCGGAGGAGATGAGCCTTTGAGGAATTGCTCGCGTTCCTCGATAGTGCCGCCTTGTCGGATTCGTCTTCATTGTGGTTGCTAGGCCAGGGAGCAGACTTTGAGGGAGAGACGTATGCAGCAGTTGGGATATCGAGCTCGTCCGCGAGCTGGTAGAAGGTCGGAGGTCGCCACGGCCTGGGTTCAACCCAGCGGAGATAAATGCCAGCGAACCACTCAGACTTGTGCGAGAAGCGGATGACAGCACGGGGAAGAGAGAGCAGGACAAAGAATGCGAGGAATGCGAGGAGGAAGATGTCGACGTTGAACACCAGGTTGGCGTGGTTGAAGCCGGCGCTGGAGGACGCGGCAGCCGACTGAATAGCCGAGACGGACGGGACAGCGGCGGCCACAACGGGGGTCGCCATCGTCGTGGTAGAGAGAGAGAGGAAGGGAGAAAGAGCGTCGGAGGAGAATGAGCGACTGCGAAACCTTTCAGGCCCGACTTTGAAGCTAGTGGAGGGAGCAAAGGACAACGAGGCCTGCACGCGAAAACGAAGCAGACAATGGTTGTGCCACCATAAGGAACCCGAGCCCGAAGATAGTAAATTTACAGCGTCTGTTGTCATGTGATGGCGTTCTCCGGACAGCTGCGCACGTCTGTTCGTCGCCGCATTGGCCTGAGAACACTGGTCCCCTTCGCGGAGAAAGCCTGGAGAACTCACCTCGATAGAGCCATTCGCCGACCTTAACTGAGCCCACGATCCCGACGAGATAGGACCAAGCAGGATCGTTGAGGGCTCGGACAACGCTATCATCCTCCTCGGGATCAAGATCGATAGAGCCTATCTAGGCTTTTAACTTGGACCGTAATTGATATTTCGCGCGCAACGCGTGCCGCAGTTTGTCCTCGTGCAAGGTCTCGCTTCAACAGCGGCCTTTCGTGCCTATAGGCAGGGCGGTGCTTTTGATTAACTGGACCATATATACGTGGGAGTGGCTTACAGACTGTACTAATGTGAGGCATGCTCTCTGTATTCTCAGGGCTGTGCGGCTGATGGCTTCAAGAGGAGTATCCCCGATGGTCTCGAGCCGGTAATACGACCACCAGCGGCCGACATACACACATACATGATAGACCTCACCGTGTACACCGCAGAGTTTCATCTCCGGTATGAACATCACTTTGAGCAGCGCCGTGCCAAAAAGTGAGGTTCGTCACACCTACTGGAGCCAAGTTCGATCTATCGTCACGCATGGTTTGCGGCCCATAGCCTTTGCATCGTAGGGACAGCTGGGGTCATCTCGCGCAGCTCTGGCATCTGTGACGGGGCCTACAGCCTTTCCGTGTTTTCATTAACGACGTATGATATCATTAGCTAGCATATACTCACTCGGTATTATCACCTTCTCATCTGTGTTGTTATCGTTTACAGGGTGGATTGATTGGCTCGGAGCAGTACAGGATGTGAGTACAGCTGGGGGGTGCGACAGTTTCAAGAAAGCGTGTCGTTGCGAGCTGCAGGCTTTTGAACGACGCATCGTGTTGCACCTCCAGAATGTCTCATCGCCATCGCGGCCGTGGAACGTGGACATCTCACTGAAACAGTACGGTCTGTGTCAGTCTGTGTCGGAGCTCGGCGGCACCTACG